CTAAAGATATATGGTCACTGTAAAGTGCTAGAGGGCTTTTACATTGAAAATAGCTGATAATGTTTAGGAGGGTTAGGAAGATGCATTATCCTTAGAGTGCATTTACGTTAGTCTTCTGAAATATCCTTTATCTCATGGCCCAGTTTCGAATGGTTTTTAATCTCTCAGTATATGATACCTTTAATTAATCTTCTTTTTTAAGAAAAAAAAAATCTGGAGAGATTTGTAAGAAATTTAGAAGCCTTTTTACGAAAGATATGAAAGGTTTACATAGAGAGGTTTATATCTACAAGAGGAATTAGATCCTGTCAATGAACAACATCCAGTATCTAGGATTAATGACCCCTAAGGGTCCTAAATGTTGAAAAACGGCTCTCTAAGGTCAAAAGATCCAAAGACCCTGATGGAACAAATGACATTTCAGAAGCCAACCTCCTTAAATCCTTCAGATGTTTTATTGCGCTTGAGGTCTGTACCCCTCACAACCATCTCATCCATTGATTTTTATCCAAAGAACCCAGCTAAAGCTTACTACCAGATAAAACAGTGTAGTGTTTTCTTCAAACCTTTGTAAAACAAATGAAACTTTATCTCAAATTTCTGTATTTTCCTTTGGCATTATTTAAGTAACAAAGCAAAAATAATCCGTTTATGCTGTGACAGAGAAAAATGGTGGCAATTAAACAGAGGAGGTGGCATATACTGTACAAAATAACTTTTCTTATTCAGGTACTGCAGAAGTACAATAGGGCTGAATGATTTTTGCCCAAAAACCAAAATTGCAATCATCTTTAACCAATATTGCGATTTCATTTCGATTTTCCTTAATGCTAACCACAAGCTTGTAGATGTTTAATTTCAATGCTTCAGTTTGTTTGTTGCCTCGAAAGCCTGCTTGTGCATAGTCCATTGCTGCAGAACTAAATTGTAAACATTGTGTGAAAAAAGTGCTTACATGCATGCATGGATCTATGTTCTAGCTGCAACTTTTTTTCCTTTCTGTGGCGACAAAACCACTTTAAATGTATACAACTAACTTAAGAGCTACAGTGAGACATTTTGTGTCTTTTTCTGTGCTTTTTTGTCGCAATTTCACAAAATTGCATTTTGTGAAATTCCACTACTCCACTACTTCCTGAACTTAAGGCAGCTCTGTTTTTTCCTGTGATTCATTACTGGATGAACTGATTAATCCAGGTGTGTCTGGCCATGGTTACTGAGGTCAGGCACACCTGGATTAATCAGCTCATCCAGTAGATAAAGACAGTAAACAAAAGAACTCCTTTAAGTTCAGGAAGTAGTGGAGTTGTGCATAGAGCCCATTAATTTCCCAGCACTAAAGTACATGTTACCCAATAACATAGTATGATAACTTTGAGTTAACGTCACTATACCACTGCATTCATACATTAACTTAAAGTTTAATTTAATTTATTTTATATAAAATAAGAAGAGCAACAATCATCCATCATTTATATCATATTTTGGTTATGAATTTGATCCATATTTATATTCTAACATTTATTTGTTTTTATTTGATTTACAAAATTAAGCAGTTATCCAGAATTATTCATTTAAGCTAATCTGGTATTTATAAATTAAAACAAGAGTAACAAGCTGATTTTTACAGGTTCATATGTTGGGTTATATGATGTAGTATCCGACTGGCCATCAACTGGAAACAGACCTAACGCTCAATTTTAAAATACTGACAAACAGTGTTTCTTAGGTCTCTAAGCAAACAATCTTCTAAGCTTTATTCAACTGGAAACATCCAAACGTGTGTTTATTCTAAGCAAGAACAAGGCAAGTAGCCTTACTGGCTGATTGGCACGAACCAACAATGAGGTGACAGTGCTAGCAGAATCTAAATCGTTAGCCTTCGATATTCCCTTGAGATGTGTGAAATGTTTGTCACAGGCTCCAAACGTTGAAAGTAGCTGCAGGGTATGGGATAACAGGCCTAGAAGAGAAGTCTAGACATCCTTCCCAGAGAAACACTCCTTATCTTTTTCAAGAGGATCACAACATTGTTCTAAGTCAGAAGGGATCTATAGTCTCTCCATCATGTTCAGGGTCTCCTCCATGCATGGGCCGTCTTTATCAGAAGCATAAACTGGCTAAAGTGAATCCTGATCTGTGGGAACAGAGGTTTTAATCAACATCCACCGAGATGATGGAGCTCCTCACCCTTTAGGACTACTGTAGGTAAAACCTTCCTACATTGGTCGCCAATTTCAGCAGCTTGTATCTGGGATCTGGTTGCTCCAGTCATGTTCCGCATCTTCTGACAGCAGCTGAGAGATGGAATATGATTTGAAAGTGCTGCAGTGTGATTTAACTTTCTCTTCACCAAGGCAGACCAGAGCAATGCCTGCATTACAGTGACTCCAATCTGTTACTAAGAAAACTTGAGCTTCTTTAAACTCAAAGTTTTTATGGGAAAAAAAAAAATACTCCATATGAAAACAGGTTAATCGCTATAAAATGTCTTCAGGGTCAGAAATAAAAAAAGAATCCAGCTTAATTAAATAAGTCCTAATTTAGCAGCCCTCACATCTTCACAGTTTGACAATGCTAGTGTCTGGCTTTTTCTTTCTGAAAACCTCTGGTATAGTACTGTAAGGCCATTTATTTCTCCTGACAGAGGGAGCTGTGGGGGTGTTAGGTAACCTTCTAGCACCTTTTGTTTGTTTCATCTCACTTTGCTTCAGACACTAAACGTCTCAGACTTCTGTCCCGTACATTTCTAGAAGCATTCCCAACACTTTAAGTTTGACACACTAATCTACTGTTTATTTACTCTAGGGGCAGAATTACACCACAATCAAATCAGGTTTTTTTTTAACCAAGGCCTTAGATAGTCTGTTTGAAGATTGAATAGAAAGCTAAGTGATCAATGCAACTCAATAATGTTCCTGAGGGTATTTGTCTCAACTTGAGATTGCTTTTGCCTGCAAGCTCTGCAGCTCTATAGCTTCAGGTTTGTAGCATAATTAATTTCCTGATTTGTTTTTTTTAGACGCTAGCCTTCAAAACAGAGAATGAATTTTCTCTCTGTTTTCCTTCGACATGTTATGTGGGCGTTTCTAGCTGTATGTTTTGGGTGTAAGCTACACTTTCCATAGAGAGGCCGAAGAAAACAGGGGCTGCACCTGTTGTTCCCTGTGTGGTGGGCTTAGCACCTGCTCACACGGCTGCCTGTGTGGCTGTCTGTGTGGGCAACAGGGAAACCATTCACAGCCGCCCAGACGGCTGCCTGCAGCCCCTCTCCCTCGGTTCTGGTTCGCTCAGCGCTTTCTGCGCCATCATTTCTTTCTCTTTCCTTTTACATTCTCTGCCGATCCCTGTGTAGCCTACACGAAGGGTTACTCTCAGCCACACTTTATCCTTTGTACGCTCAATCTGTCTGTCTGTGTTTCTGTCTCCCCATCTCCTCCTCCCTCTTGCTCCTTTTTATTTCGCGATGCCAGACATTTCTTTTTGAATATCAGCTCGCACAGTAACACAAACATGAACCGCAGCAGCTGGGAGCTGTTATGTTCCTTGTGTTGAACTTGATGGCTTTTAGTATAAAAGACAAAGTTGTGGGAAGAAAAATCCATACAGAGCAACAACTAAATCGCTTCAGCAAGAGCTGAATGTGAGCATTTAACCCAGGCAATAGAAAAAGGGAGTGTGTGGGTGATTATGGGCAATTTAGTTATTGTAGCTGTAAGACATTTTGGACAATGAGCATAATTCAAATTACTCTTGACTGCAGTGGCGGTTCTTGCCTGAATGAGGCCCTAGGTAAGCTCTATCATACATATGCTACAATCTTTAATAATACGTTTATGTCAAAGAATGATGAGAAAATAAAGAGCAGTTATCTCTTTGACATTAGGTCTTGTGCCTAATGTACAGAATTTTAAATAGATCAGTACATGATGGCTCTACTGAGGATAATAATACTCCAACTAGCTTTGTGTGTTATGTGTTGTTAAACACAGAGAGATAAATCTTACATTGACGTAGACTGAAAAGCCACTCTGAGAGGAAGAATCCATCACTTATAAAGCAACAGAAAGCCAGTTCACTGGTAAATGCACCCAGAGACAAAGACTGAGAGACATGTCCTGTGGTACATAAGTGTTTAGCTGTAATGACAATTGTTAAATTCGAAGAAAGACAATATGCAAGCTTGAAATTTGAGAAAATGCCTACTTTTATTTCTAACACACCCACCATAATTCCCTAGGTTGTACCTATACTACCCAGGGAACTGCTTTCTGCATACTTTTTTTTTAGTATGCTTCCTGCATACTAACAATCTGTATGTATCAATTAATCTAAAATATATGCTGCTCCCATTGATACTTTCTCATTTCAACCTTTCTTCATTTTAATTTAGCCTATTTGTGTCTGCTGCCTAGCCTGCCCCTCTCCTGTGTGTCAGTAATCATATAATCAATTGACTCTATGGCTTCCAAATCATCACATCTGACCTCTTCTACTGTTAACACAAAACCTCCAGCATGCACTTTATAAGACGTCATCAATTTACACAGATGGGGCAATGAAACACAACACCTGAAGGTGACAAGGCTCCTTTAGATCATGAGCCATAATCCAAAAGGAAATCATGATCCATAAAGGATTTATTTTATATAACGCTCGGTACTTATGTCTTTATCCTTATTTTGCATCACAAAAATAATAGGCCTACAGTTAGACCCTGTGCAACACGTGAAAGAGCAACGACGTGTAACAAAGGCGTTCACATCATATGTTAATATCACAGCAAACTTGCAGCAGACACAAAGCCCAACTCGGACCCAGCAGGGTCCAGATGGAGTAGAATACGCACAATTTTGTTTACCTGGTGACCCTTTAAAAAAAAATGCACCATTGTTTTGGCACTAATAAAAACTGCGTACTTCCACCTGATCCCCACCACCACCACCCACTATCCCCTCCCAGACTAAGCGTCTCTCAATCCCACCGTTTGGCACACTCACCGCACCAGATGGCCAGGTATGGGGAGGCTGGAGCAGGTGCCAACCCGCCCTCTCTGTCGCTCTTGTTTCCCTCAGTGGAAAAAAAAAAAAGGGAGTGAGGGCTGCAGCAGCTCTCCTGGTATCCAAGGCTCTTTGGAAGAAAAAAAAAAAGGCTTCTCAGCCGCACCTCACCTGCCTCTTCCCTCCACCACTCCGGCGCGTCGCCGAAGCATCATCGTTTCCACAGAGCGCGTCCAGAACGCCTAGGCAACTACAATCGGTTTTGTTTTCTTTCTCTCCAATCACACCCTCCTGAGAGAGTAAGAGTCCTTTTCTTCAATTCAAATGCGAATATAGCAGAAATTATCTGTAGTCCAGATCCGTCCGTTTTATTTTATTTTATCCCGACAGCCCGGTACCAGACCCTCGCAAAAGAAAATACATAAAATAAAATAAAATAAACTGCAGTGAAGTCTTGTCATGCAGAGAGGATTCAGGCTTTGAAATCACTGGTCAGCAGAATGTAATCCCTTTTGTAAATTTACAGTGGCGAGGTGAAATGTCCAGCGCAGAGCAGGCACAGTGACAACAGGGGCCCATAATTCACACCCCCTGAAACAGAGTCCTGCAGTGGATCAATGATGAATGGAGAAGCTCTCTCTCTCTTTCTCTCTCTCTCTCTCT